CTGTCTTAGCATTAATGATCAGGGCCCACAAAACAGTCTTGCTTAAATAACACAATTAAAGGATCTGTAATTTACATGGTTTTTAACTGTAAATTGCTTGTTGCCACTGTTGGTATGTGGATATTCAGGAATTCTTTCTTCTGAGAATTATGGATACAGACTTGATTTCTCAACATATGCTTGAAGAACTCAGTCCATTCACAACAGATTTCTCAACTTTGGAGCCACATATCAGCATGAACTGAATGGGTAATAGGGCTTAAAGTTTAAAAAAGAAGCTAAAATTGCTTACTGTTGGTTCCCTACATGCTATAATTTAGAGGCAAGAGTCCCCTTTACAAACTCATCAAAAATGTTAAGACATAGATGTCAATTTTTTTTTTTTTGCCCCACTGATTTCTTCAATAAAAGTCTATTTTCTGTGCCTCTGGGAAGACTTGTCTCTTTCTAGCAATCACTGTCAGGACCCCATCTAAACCTGTCAGTGCAAAAAAGTTCAGAAATTGGATTGCCTGCCTGAACAGACCATCAAGAAGTGAGTCATGAAAAAAAAAGTAAGTTCTAGAAGATAACCTAGCTTAGCATTTCCGGAAATTCTAATGTGAAACATCGAAAAAAAATTTCAGTAAAGTGGAAGGGAAATGTAACTAATTTTAGTGACAGATATCTACACTGAGACATAAAGCCAATTATTCAATAATGGCTATGTGGAAGCTATTGCTGAGCTATTCATATAAGTCAATGTTATGCAGAAATGATGGTTCTATGCATTACACAGGGAGTTTTAGTCAGCTAAACCAAAGGACATTCTAGACATTATGAAGAGATTAAAATTGCAGTTACTATATGGCTTGCAGTGAAGTATGTGACAGAAATGTTACTGCTAGCTATATGGTGCCTCAGTCTTAATGTCTACATAATGTCCTGAATACTCCTCATAAGTAGTAAAACAAAATTTGAAGGGTCTTGACAATAGAATTTACAACCTAGCTCTTTTCAATTAGATTTACTTATTACATTACTTAAAATGTATGATATGGAGAATTTTATTTATTTATTAAGCAATTCTACAATGAAATCTCATTTTCTCCATCTATTTTTAACTCAAGATCAACCACTATCCCACAGCTTCAGTTCCTTTTGAAAGTCTTTTCTAAATTTTTTTTTCTGGTCCTAATTTATTACAATAAAATCTCACTTGCTAAACCATGTCTCCTCCTTAAATGCTTTCTCAAAATGTATCCATCCCTCTAAACAGAATGATCACAATTACTGTTTCTTGTGCAAGCAGCTGCGTGCTATCTGCTCCTTCTTAGCTACCTTTTCTACTTAAATACCTTCTCTAAATTGTGAATATGATTGAAATAATACATTCCAATACTTATTGAAATAAATAATTCCAGTTGTCTCCGGAAAGGGAACTCATTTTTGAATCGTAAGATACTGAGACTTGGTTTGCTATTACTGAGACTTTACAGAGAATCCAGAGCACAGTGATACAACCATGAGGCTCAGTGATACATCAATGTGGTACCAGAGTGCATGTTTGTATTTTAATTGTAGACAGTGAAAGAAATCACAGTAGTAAAAATGTCAGGTTACAGCAGCAAGAATGAATTTCCCTGCACAGCTGAGGAAAGAAGGTGAAAAACAACATGGAATGGTGGCATATGCGACTAGACATGCAGTTCCATGTCACTCAGTTCTGCAATCACAGAATAGCACATCATGTTATCTATTCCTTTACTACATTTCTCAAGCTCTGTCTAAAGATAGTTGGAATTCCTGCTGTAACTTCTATTGGAAGACTATTTTAAAATCTCCCTGCTCTGATTAAAGTTGACCTTTTAACTTAGCATAGCCATTTTACAGTCATTTGCTTTTTTTTTTTCCTTCCTCCCCCCCGTCCCCCCCCAATACTGACCTATAGATTCAATTGGTCACAATGTCCCCTGTGGATTTCTGATGCTGCTTCACAGATTTACACATCAGATGACTGCGCCAACATGATACATAGTGGAAATCAAATTTAATTTTAAATGTACTTATCAGTGTTCCTGGAAGTTTTATAATATAAACTTAACAATATGACATTGTTTTGAGAATAAACTTGAGAATAATTTTCTTTTCCCAATAACAGTTTCACTATTAGATATAAACTTGGCAGTATGGCAGGAATCATCCAGTCAGAATTTTGAAATAACCAATAAAGCTTGACTCATGCTTACATAACTTTTAAAAATTAGTCTTTGTAATGTAATTTGACTTTTTGCCATATTATCTTTGAAGAGATTTTTATGTATAACTGCAATGAATAATTAAAAACATATCAAAATGGATCTGGAAGAGATTAAATCTTTCACAACTAATCAATGGAGAAAGTACAATGGTTGTTGGTTCACGTTGGCTATCACAGACAAAATATATGAAAGATAAAAATCCAATTACATTTTAGGCACTAACTGATCTCAAGATAAAACTGATAGAGCGTCTGTTTCTCTAGGAGGGTGTACAATACATTCATTTTTGTATCTGTCACAGGGAGTAGAAGAAACTATCAGGCATAGAAGCAATGTAGAGAATATGCAGTCTGGCTTGGGGAAGGCAGGTTAGTAGTAAGTTGAAAGATATTTTAGGTAGAATTTTTCAGATGGAATTTCTACCTGTATTCTAATATAAAGCACCTCTAACCTTCTTCAGTCTGTGAGTGGATGGATTCTCAAGGGATGACCCTGTGCTTACGGAGACTTCTGGATAAAGAATGTTGCATCTCACCATTTTTTAAAGGACCTTCCATGCTGGTAGCCTGTCATAGAATCATTAAGGTTGGAAAAGATCTTTAAGATCATCTAGTCCAGCCACCATCCCATCACCACCGAGGCCACTGTCCTTGCTGATCTTCATACAACACAAATGTAAAATTGAGTCTTAGTTTAGCTGAAGACTGTTACCTTCAGAGAGTGCTGTATGTCTCTTAGGCTGAAGAAATATGCTCATTCTCATCATTTATTTTCTCCTCTAGCTCTTTGCTACCTACTGTTCTGGAGTTTATTACTTCCTTCTTCTAGATTCTAGCAAAGTGATCTGTAGAAATGTTCCTTAAAATGTATAAGGCAAAACTATCTTTCACAGATGTAGCAACAAGAAATTTTGGAAGATAATATTTCAGCCATGTAGTGAATCAAGAGCTGGAAGTCCCTCTATGGTCTTCAACAATTCGCTTAAAATCACTTATGATCAAGCTCTAAAGATTTGGTTGAAATTCAGGTATTCAATCAAATATCCATCCCTTATATTTTTTGCCTATGTCCTAACAGCTTATTAACAAGTGATGAAATTTGAAGCCTAGCTCACACAGAACTGTCCCAGATCTTCTGTTATATCCCCAGAATGTTCTACCCATTGGGCATATCAGATGACATCAGTAACTGTGATATTCATGCAATATAAACCTCTGGAATTTGACTCCATAAAGCAAAGTTGAATTAGGTTTTCCAAGGAAGTCTGTACCTAATAGACACTAAATATAATTGTAATATTTTAATTTAATTAATAAACAAATATACTGATATAACTATTGGCTCCTTTGTTTGCCTAAAGAATAAAAGTTTACTCCTGCAAACTACTATCTGGAAATGAACAGTAGTACATGTATGTTTTTCTCCGTACCTCAGAAAGCTAACAGATTGAAAAATTCATAAAATGGTGAATAGCATACTGCTTTACTGTGAAGATCTTTGCACAAACTAACAACTGAACACTAGATTCCACAGAGTTTGTTTCTGTAGGTCCAGGACAGCCAGTCACTACATAATGTATTTATGTGAATATTATACTTTAATGAGATCATTTGAGACTGTGGTTTCATACTGCAGTTTCCTTAATAAACATACCTGTAAAATGCACAGTGTACATATATGTGTAAACAGTATTCATGTTGTTTGCACACAAAAAAAAACTGTATACTGGCCCTTATCCTCACTAACAGACAAGGACAAAAAGGCAGAAAAGAACTCCTCATCCATCTCACATTTCCTATCAGGATCATATGCAATCCCTTTCTTTGCATGGGTGAGCTAGCACACTGAGATATCCCTGCTCAAGAAACACTGACTTAGAAATGTAAAATCTTCCCAGTTGTGTATTGTGATCATGAATTCTAACCTTCTGCACAAGAAGCAGGTGTAGAAATGGCACAATTCAGTATGCTAGACTTTAAACTTATCTATTGATATGCATCAGCACAAACCTATCTTGCTAAATTAAATGTTCATCAAAACAACATTATCTTGAATTGTTTTCATATTTGGTTGTGTGCCTCATTCCCAAGGATGACATAAGGTATCTGCTCTCATTTTGTCAGCCTTTTTGATGTACTCATATGGAAAAGCTGCCCACAGGAAAAAGCATTATTATATTATACTGTATATAATATATGTTTTTATTATATATTGTATAATATTTAAAATACATAATATTTATTGTTTTGTTATATTATATATATTAAATATATATTATTATATTATTATATTACAGTATTATTAAAAAATAAAGACCAGGTGCAGAAATTACAAGACAAAACTATGATACGCACATCAGTAGCACAGACAAAATTTGTTATCATATTGCGTCTTACACTAATCAATGACCCACAAAATTAAGAAAGAAGAATGAAACCAATAATTTTTGCTAGCATGAATCACAGAAATTAATAGACTTCCTTGGGACACCTGATACTTAGCACATCTTTTCCCAATTGAAAACTAGATAGCTAAAACCTTTGAATCGTTTATTCTATTCAGAGCATAATATCTTTTTAGCAGATTTTAAGCAGAATCATCAAATACCGTAAACTACCTTAAGAAAATAAATTACAGATAAAGTAAGTCAAACCTTCCAAGGAAATCCAAACTATTTGTGAAAAAGGTAGAGAGACCTAAAACACCTGTAATCAACTTTGTAAAACTGAAAATTAACTCAGATAATGAGTAGTGCCTTACCTGGGTAACCTTCTCTGTTACATTGTGCGTTCGATCTTTTACCTTAGGTGCAATAATTGCTTTCTCCGAAGAAGGAGAAGATGAAGATTTTTTTTCATTTTTGATATCTGAAAAGTTCAGAGTGAGTTGAGGAATTCTGTTGATTGTGCTGTACTTGTTGAGATTTGAATCCGATGTGGATCCCAACAGACTTGATTTGATATGATTAAAAGGCCCTGAAAAATCAGATAACTTACTTAGTCTTTGAGAAATACACTGAAGTTAACATTGTACAATTAACGAATATTAAGATGTCATAATTCCAAAATAAACAAGAGAGTTAAGCAAAACAGACTATGATAACAAAAAGAAATCAGAAAGAAAGCTTACCCGTATCCTGGGCTTGCTTACAATACTCCAGCAGAGTAGATCTCCAAAAAAGACCCTTCCCCCCGTAGCCAGCTCTTAAATGGGTCTAGGAGGGGTGGAGCCAGTCTCCACCCCTTCCAGCAGCACAGCTGAATTGCCTTCACCTGTGCTCCTGTGGCTGACTCATTGCTGGCCTCAGGTGATCAATCAGAAGTTCAGGCCATGACTCAGCAGTTCCCATAGACTTATTAATGTTTAAAAGGGATATATTAGAAGTAGCTACTTGCTATTAGTAAAATTATCCACATCTTAACAATAATTTTACCACTAGTCAGAATCCATTTTATTATTGGATGTAAGTATACGATTTCCTTTACTTAAAGCATCCAATATTCTTTACAAAGTCTGTGGAATACAAAAGGCATACCAGGTCTATGCTTAGTTGTTTTCATTTTAACGGGTATGCTCTACGGTTATTCTGTCTGAGTATAAATACTATGTTCTCATATTGTTTATAAAAGTAGAAATAGGACATGCAATTCTATTAGTGTCTGAACTGAGTAAAGGCTTTGTTATCATACCTGTTAGTTAGTAACTAGTTAGTTTGTTCAAAAATGCCTTCTGGCAAACCAAAAAAATGGACTGGATTGTGTATTTAATCAATTTAATATTAACCTATGTCTAACATTGTCTTTAAAGACTAATTTTGAAGAGTAACAAACTCACAAAATGTGTTGGCTTAGCTGTCATGTACAAAAAAAAATATTGAAAATAATAGGGACAACCACAAGTAGAATATTAATTGAGTATTTAATACACAATCATCCTGCATTACTTTAATGAGTCATGTTAAATAAAAAGTTTGAAGTATCACACCTCATGAGGTACATATCCATCATAATTATTCTTTTAAATATTGGACTTAACTGTTTCTACAAGTAAACAGTATGACTGATCAGCAAAATTATTTTGCACTGTTATGATAGATTTGGTCTAGAAACCAAAAATATTCAATAGAAGTGAAGTTTGATTTCGAGAATAAGACTGGAAAAGAGAAATCTACAGATGTATAGACAACAACAAGCAGTTGTGTATTTAACTAGAAGTCCTGATCTTGCTGTCAGTAAAATAATATGTGGGATTTAAGGGGCTTTTTTCATATCTGCATGAGAATTTTACTGTGTCCTAATAGTGTTACTGACAATGAGCATGAATTTGGTGGTTTATCTTTTTCTTTTCTTTTTAATTCCTTGGAGGAAAACAAGAACTGGTGTTACAATTCATAACCAGCCTGTAAGACAGAATAAGGCTATATGACAAGCCTGAGTAAACAGGGGATGGGCTGTATATGCAATGTGTGAATGAGTAAATTCAAAGCAAACAGCTGCCTGGAGCATGCTGGGGGTAAATTTAGGTGCTGCTGAATTCTATAACTTGATCTCTCAAGATTTTACTTGGGACTCAGAGCCCAAAGCTGTTTTGTGATGGTCAATACTTTTATCTTTTATGCTTATACATTTATGCTTTATCTTTTTAACATCAAAGTAGGGCTTTTTTCTTTTTCTTTTTCTTTTTGTTGTCATTAGTTGCCTGTCAAATTCTTTAGGTGAAGATTGTCTCTCCTCTACTTGGTTTAGAATGACTTCTGAAGAAGCAAACTTTTCATTTGCTTTGTTAGCTTACAAGAATTCATATATGTGCTTTTTGCTTCCCGAATTCATACAAATCATAGGTTCAGGTAAACCAGAGGAAAAAAACCTCCCCTGCTCCACCTCAATTTGTGCTACTTATCCAAGTTGCAGCTTGCTAAGATCCTAAATGGAAAACCTTGCAGTTTGTTTAGATAGTGGGAAGGGTCTGTGTCTTTGCATTGAATAGATAAGGGAGGTTCTTGAGGCTTTGTGTCAATAAGGAGAGCTCCACAAGTCTTAATTTAGAATATGTATTTACCTCCAGGAAGACCTCTGAACACATATAAACTGAAGACTTCTTTGTGCAAAGCATTCATGATAGGAGGAGACGATCCCCCATGCATGCAATGCTGGTATTAAAGAATGCCAACTTTCTAAGACTCCAACTTGAGTCTTAGAGAGTTTCTTGATAAACTACTTTATGGCAGCACCACTGTGCAGAAAGATATTCAAGCTCACAAGGGAGGGCATGTGCCCTGGTAGTTAAGGTGCTCCCTTTCAACCCAGTGTTTCTGCTCTCAAAGACCTTTCAGTATTTGGTCCAGTGATTTGATATAAGAGAAACACAACTTATGGGTGAGTACCCTAACCACTAAATTACCAAAATCAGTCTTTCTTTCCATCTTTATGCTAGAAACACTGGTACTGAAGACACTATCAAGGAAATAGGATATTGTGCTTGAACACCTTTTTAGCCCAAGTAGGACTTGAATAAATATTTTCCACCATCTACTTTTTTCATTTAAACATGTTCTTCAAAATGATGCAGGGCTCACAGTGACTTTAGAAATTAGCAAAGGGGCTGATCTGGCTGGTGTGTGCTGTGCAGGGATAGACTGCATTTTTTTTTTTTTTTTTTCAGCTCTGCTTCTCTACATAATTGTAGCAATTAGTATTTGAATGTTGAGTAGGCTTAAACCTGAGTGGAACATCTTGTTGGGACCATCCACCAAATGAATGAAATTCTTGATATTCAAGAAACTCTAAGGTAAAGAAAACTAAGAGAGCTTAACCAAATCCACAATTAGATAGATAAGAATTTTTTTTTGATGGTAACTTTTTAGAAGCTTAAATTGCACTGAAGTTTTACTTTCTGGGATTTAAATCTTATATTGCTTCTGTTCCAAGGGGAATTACTCTCTCCTCTATGTAACATTCATGCCTTAGCATATGATATCAGATTTAAATTAATTGCACATGAGAATTAAACCACCCTTTTTAACCACCTTCTTTTGCATTAAAAATTGGTGAAATATATTTATATCATTGATGATGGTAATTAATTAAAACCCCTTATTAACCCTTAAGTACAATGTGGGCTGCTACTTGAGAGCTAGTGGACTTTTCCTATATTCTCATAGCAGGAAGGAGAAAAGGAGGTCCATTACAAATCACAATTGACACTAATTGGCAGCCTGATTGACACTTTCAGCAGAACAGGAAAGAATTAAATAAACAGGGAGAATAATATGCTTCTGCCTACTGTATAAAGGGGATTCTTTAAGGTTTAATGTGAACTCTCCATTTGTATGGTAGGATTACATTGCCCCTGCTTACGAAATGCATTAACAAAGGATTTCACTTTCTGAGCTGTCAAGCCAACATATTTCACAAGCAGTAAATACACTTATGAAAGCTGATTTAGAGTACAATGACTGCATTTTTTCCCCCGAAGACTTTACCAACGTAACATGAAGCAAACGCAATGATTTCATAGTCCATGACTCACTCCACAAAATCTAGCTCATGCAGTGCATGCAGTTTAAAGAGAAGACTTTACCAAGTACGCACACTTTTTGCATCATGCATGAAATCACAAACTGGTTTTCAGACATAGCTAAAATAACCGAACAATTTAATCATTGTTTTTTAGAGATGGATGATTTTCAAAATGCTGATAAAAGACACAGCTCAGTGCTGGTGAATAGAAACAACTCTGTAACTGCATGAAGTATTATTTAAACATATAACTGGTAATGAAGTGCATGCATGCACACTTTAATGCTACAGGAAGCTTGAAACCATACCCCCTGCCATCCAGGAACGTGAAACTAGTTTTAAGGAAACAAAATAGGAATAAGTGAAGATATTTCCATAGGACTCCTAATTAATAATTCTTTTACTTTTGAGATAGTTAACTGACAAGTAGCCACCTTAGTACAATAGATCGTTAATTAGAGGCCCAGCCTGATTTTACATCCTTTCACAGGTAAAACTCCTGGTTGCTTCAACAGAAGTTTTGCCTGCTTAGACAGCAGTAATGAGTTAAACGACCTGAACTGCGACCCTTCCCTTACGTCTGAATTAGCAGATACTTAAGTACAATAACCGTTTAACTATGCCTTCACTTTTTCCAGGGATAGGTAGTTAGTGCTTTGAGACAATAGTTAAGAGAATGACTACATGTTTAACATGAATAATTTCAGTAATGGCTCTGGCTCTAGGGGGGCCAGCATGAGAATGTTGCTTTTGAACATTTCATACAGCAGGCAAAGTAACATGCCAAAAAGTGTGGCTGTGGAGACACTGGAACGTATAGTCTAGACGGATACTTTACCTTTGACATTGCGACCATTGTCTGGTTTTCAGCATAATAAAAGCAAAGAAAAAGAGAGAAAAAAAGACAACTAAAATCTACATCAGAAAACATTGCTTCCAAATATATGTGGCTGGAATTAAAATGATTGCATTACGTAAAGTTTTGGGCAGGATGAAGTCCCTTTGGCAAAGAACAGCTTGTACAACAGTTTGGAATTGATCAGCAGGAGCTGCAAAAATGAGTAGGATTGGCTCTAACTTGCTTTAACAGCAAAACAACAACATAGTTTCCCCACAAGTCCTATGCTGGTTTGGAAATCCAAAGATCTAACCCACAAGACAGCAACTAGTCAAAAGCAATTAAGCCGGACTGAGGCACCCACAGCTGCGAGCAGCCCAGGCCAGCAGCAGGGGCTGCGTGGGTGGTCTCACAGGCGCCTACACCTTCCAGTACTCCCAGGAGGAGTTAGGTCTCCCAGAACTGCTCTTAACGCAGCAGTAGGGTGAGCAGTGCCGTTTCTCACTAAATATTGAGAAACTGCTGTGGAGAAAGATGAGCCTTAAACCTTTTTCCAGCACACTGGTTGGTACCTTTGTGGAAAGTAATAGTGGAGAAGTTATCTTCATGAGGTACACCTGCTCCTCACAGGCACTTTCATCCCTGAACCTTCACCTGAGATTAATCTGTTTAATTATTTAAAGAAGTCACACATGTCAACAGTTACCAACCTTACCTTCTTAGGGATGTATACAAGCCCCAGGTTGCCCTCCCTTTGTACAGCTCACCCTGCCTTGCTGCAGGAGCTTGGTAAGTGTGTAAGGGCCCCGAATTTGGCGGGAACAGCTGTGTTCCTGTGTGCTACTAGCTCCTCTTACCTGCTCTGGAGATCAAACTCTCAAAGAAGTTTGAAGGCTGCAGGAATGGCTGAGGACCCTTTCTGAAAACAGTAAAATTCCTAATATTCCTACTGGTGTACCTGCCTGCAAAATCTGGTTTGCTGATGCTTCAGATGAGAAGAATTTGGCTGCAGTTTGTTGGAATACAGTTCCTGTGCTGCTGTTTTTGCTGTCAAACAGGTAACTACAGGATGGAATTCAACTGAGTATGCCCAAATGAATTTACAATCCTAAGTTGTCATTTTTAATGTAATACCTTTTAGTGTTTGATTGTTGCTATACCACATAAGGACTGGAGTTTATTTTTATGTGCTGTAAGTAATTAGGGTTTTACATTCTTCAGTAGTTTCTACAGCTTCTGCTCAAAATCTGTAGTTCAAAGAAGAGGATTTAGGCTGAATCTTGGTTGTGTAAAGTAGCAGAAATGCTAAGTCAGGGCTTGAAACAGTGATGGAGAACCCGGTGGGAAGGTAGGGCCAATCCAAGGGAGTTCAGGCACGTGCAGTGTACTGAGTGACCAGAAGGAGTGGAGCCAGGATCCATCCCTTCCCAGACCTCATTTAAGGGTTGGCAGTGAAGGCAAGGGCATCTCTTGAGTTCCCTGTGTACCTGAGGATTTCTGAAGGTAAGCATCTTCTTCCCTTTATGTCTGTGCCCACAGCTGTTGCACTTGAGCAAGTCCTCACTTGCTGTGGACTAGGACCTTGCTGCTCTGCTGTTGTTGTGCTTTCCATTGCATTATACCTGACTTATATAGATCATCTTAAAACATCGGTGGGGGTTTGTAGCTTAAGGTTAAGGCGTGTGGGACTTCCTAGTGAAATTTAAATATCTTTTCAGCATAAGATGCCAAATTCAAACATAACTGGGAGAAGATGGCATCAAGTGTGGTTGATAATTCTAATGGGACACTGGGAACTATCCTCTCTTCTGCTGTACTTTTTGTAGAATGTGTATATATAACCTAAATAGAGGGTCAGACTCTCTACTGTTTTGTATGCGAAGTAAAATTGGATGACATTTTTTTATCTGTTTACACTGTAAGGATGTAAGATGTCAGAGGAATTTGAATGTATTATCTGCTTCTTATAGTAAAATCACTTCTTCTTAGTATCTAAAACTTGAAAAATACTACTTAGTGAAATGGAGCTTGAAATCTCTTGCTCTTCCATGCAGCCAATATTAAATTGTATGGCTATTTCTGCATGAACTTTATACCATTATAAACAATAAAACTTAGTAATAGAACTTAATTTTTACACATTTCGAGAACTATCTGTGAAGTGCTTTAATCGTAATAAGTTCTGAAAATAGGAATTGACAAAATATATATATTTAAATGTGTTTTATTTGAAATGCTGGTTTAGATTTGGGAAAGTTAAAAACTAAAAAAGCTTGAATAAAAATTACACAAGTCATTAGTATCTACAAAAGCATTGTATATTTAGCAGTTTTCTGTGGAAGTCAGTTACAAAGTACTTTTCTATTCTCAGAGTTTTGAAACCTCTGTTTCTTAAATTTCTCATCATTTCTTCTTCAACATGAAGAAACTATGGGTTGTACTCCATGACTTTGCATGGGGTACTTTGCGCATAGTTGAGCTGCTTAATATAAATTTCATGTATTTCACTAGACATTCCATCAAGCTTTTCACTGGAGTTACTGAGGAGATTATTCTCCAATGTGTAAGAAAAAGCATTAGTTTTGGGTTAGTGAATATACAATATGCATAAGAGAATTTTTAAAAATAAACTGTTCTGTCTCTGAAGTAGGATTCCATGCCATTAGAGATATTGTGTGCGAGACACACAGTATGTCCCCATATTGTGTGTCTTGCACACAATATCTCTAATGGGACAGAACTGTGTATGCAGTTCTGGTTTAATTGTGTGAATCTTTTTTTTTCCTCCTCTAGTACGAATATTAGTTTTGCAGATGCTGGGACTAATTTTGCTGTTTTCCTGTACAGAAGGCAGATGGTGGTCTAAGAGCAGCTCCATGATTTCACTGGTCTGCTTAGACATTAAAAGCAGTATTCAGAGTAAAAAACAAAAAACTCCCCAAACTGGCTTATTTTCTCCCTTAATATTTTTATTGTGATTTTGGATGTCTATAGATGAGAATGTGTAGTTTTGCTTACAAATTGATAATTACTGCAAAAAATCGTAAAAATCTCTCTTAATGAAAGACAGAATACTGACTGATTTTTCTACCATACCTTCACTTGCATGACGGTCCCTAAAAATGTTCTTCGCGTGGACGTTAAATCCTTCTATGTCATGTACTGAAGATGCTCTCCGTATGCTACAAATGCTTTCCTTTGATCTGGAATGGGTTAGTGGATTGCTTGTCTGTATCGTGTCAGGGTAAAGTCTGTCCCATTGCTGTTTAGGTGATGAATGGTCGAGAGGTCCTGATATATTAACCAAAGGCGAACATTTACTTGGTTGAATGAGTGCTTTTGTGTCATCCACTTCTGAAGGGCTACAACTTTCTTTTGTAGGTGATTTAAAGTGCTTCAGAGCCACTGAGTCATCGCTGTGCTTAGATGAGTCGATTATCACTGCATCGGGGTCCTCTTGTGGTAAGGACTGTTTTCTATATGTTAAAAGTCTCAATCCAGGTAACCGGAACCCAAAAAGTTTGCCTACATGTAAATATATTAAAAACAACAACAAAGAAAAGATTGTGTTAGGTTCTTGTCATCAAAATCTGCTAATTTTTTTTACACAAATTGAGATGGCATAATAACAGCTATAAATAATTAACCTATTCTTAATAGTGATTTGCATTGGGATATGTAAATGATGTGGAGGTTTATTAAATTCCAGAGGACTTCATATTTCAGTCAAATCTAAGCTAATGAGCTCAGAAAAAGAATAAGCGTTGATTCTATGGTCTGCTTTATAACAAATAAGATGATCTATTCTGATGGTTCTTTCTGGCTTAAATCTGTGTATTTGTATAAGGCTATATATGCACTGGATTACTTTGCTTTGTGGATGTATCCTGAAACAGGTATTTATGGATCTTATTATTAGTGGAATTCCTTGTGCTTAAAACTGTGATACTGATTTATTGATTCATTGGCTACAAACTTAACAGAGCTAACCCTTCTGAAAAATAAATCGAGCATTAGTATTGCTATTATTGTTTTCAACAGCTATATTTTTATATTTAAATGAAGCACTTATTTTGAATGATGTGGCTTCCAACCCTCTGTTGCATCCATACAGTACATGCATCTTTTGCGCATTTTTGTAGATGTAGGCTTAGTTGGGTTTGGTACATTAAATGATGTGGTAGGTGTATGGGAACTGCTGAATCATTGTCTGAACTTCCGATTGACCACCTGAGGCAAGCAATGAGTCAGCCACGGAGCACAGGTGGAAGTAATTCACCTGTGGTACTGGAAGGGGTGGAGCCTGGCTCCACCTTTCCTAGATCCCATTTAAGTGCTGACTGCCACTAAGGAAGGATCTCTTCCTAGAGATCACTATCACTAGAATATTGCAAGCCTACAACATTGGTAAGCATTTTCCATTTATTATCTTCCTGTTGCGATAATCTTACTTAAGCTAATACTCTGAACACCAGTTGATTTTACGTGTCTGTATGCTTTTTGATTGTGCAGTAGGCTATGCTGAATGCATGTAAAGTGAACAAAATTTGTGGCAGTAAGAAATAGCTGTAGCTGAGAGTAATTGTAAAATTCAAGTAAAATGCTATAAATTGAAAAACATAGAGTAAGAAATGTAAAGCTTTCTCAGATTGTTCCCGTAAAACAAACAAACAACAAATCCAGGCAGCGAATACTTGAAAACTGCGTAATATAATTCAGATGGTATTAGGACTTCTAATGCACAGAAGACACAGCAAAATATGGAAGAAATTATAAAGAAACAGTAGCAAAATAAAATAACTGAATGGATCAGATGTCATTTCATAAACATGAACTTAACTAATTGTTTCTTGTTACTTATTCTGCAGTGTGTTTTCCACTATGAGTATGCTTTCTCAGAGAACATCACAAAATGTCTTGCTGTTCCTACTTATTAGGATAAGAAATTCTGTTGAGATAAGATTTCATTCTATTCAGTTAGTTTTACCACTCTTTGAAGCTAGCTAATGTTCGTTAATATTTTATCGTTAATATTTAGCACTGAGATTTTTCACTTCTTACTGAAATGTTTTGAGATAATAATTAGCTGATGCTTGTACGTAAGTTAATGCAACACATTTGATCACAGCTCAGTCATTTAACATTTTAGAGTGTGCTATATATATTACTGAATTTAACTTGAATTTTGAATGAATGAGAGTGTCTGACTCTTAAAGGAAAAGCCTAAAGTTGCTATACTGAAGGCCACTGAGGAGGTAGGATTTGTAGTGTAGGACCTCTGATAGTTTCTGAACGTGGATGAGTGGAGAAGGAATTTAAGGACAACTCAGTTGTTGTATTTCTTCTAGTTTATTTATTCAATTCCTGGATGTTGGCAGTTTAGAAATTTCTTTTGATCCACAGATTGTTTTGAGCTCAGATCATTGATGTTTGATGGAACTTTCTTCCATGAATTTGTCTCGGTGCTTTTGATACAGAATTGTACTTTGCTCTGGAAAGTATGCTATGTCAAACATTCTCATAATTTATGTAAAACAGTGCAAGAACCACTTCTTGCAATAGTTTTACAGCAGGCAAGTTGTCAAAGGTGCTAGTTTCCTTATGTATCTCTTTTGATCTCCTTGATGAATGCAAGTATAACTAAGCTATATTAAAAATTTTTGTGTACATCTGATCACCCTTACTCTTAGCTCCTTTTCATTTCTAATATAGTAACTTTTGACAGTGGTATGAGCTACTCCCATTCTTAGAGGTTAGCAGAGTGACTTTTCTTACAGATATAAAAATAATCTATAATTCACTGTTTTATCACTTGGCCTTTCAGTAATTTGGTGTGGGATGTCTGCAAATCTCACATCATATTCTGATTAATTTTATGACATCAGCAAACTCTAACCTTCATTCTCCAAAGAATTGAAAATGAATTTAACAGGACTCTGTGTGTCTCTGCTGATTACATCTTAAGAAATCTGGTCATTCATTTTGACCTTTCTTTCCCTATATTAAAATGTGATTCCATGTAACAATTTCCCTCCTTTTGTTTCATGACTTCAGTGAGGAATCTTCTGAAAAAAAAAAACCAAACAAAAAACAAAAACCACCCACTTTATTCCAAATGTTTAGTATTAAATCTATTACTCTAATGAATATACTAACACAGCAGTGCAGTAGATAGTGGGTTCATTGACAGCACGTAGAGGTGCCAATTTTGAATCTACACATCGATATTTGGTGGTATGGACCTCAGGAGCATGCATACTTCTTCTGATTTACTAACTATACTTAAATTTTTAACAGTTGAAATCATTGAAGTATATTAAAAATATTTTATTTTGAATGTGCATATAAATGAGTTGGAAAAGATCTTGATCAATTTTGGAAGCTTATTGTATAAAAGGTAAAACAAATACTGTAACTTTAATCAATTACATTAATCTTAAAAATATCATTCATAAGATTTTATGGCTTTAGCTGCTGTTAAAGGGTTGCTTTTTTTTTTTTTTTTTGCTGGCACTCTGATCTAGTTACATTCATGGTGGTGCAGATGGTCTTTTCTGCTTCACCAGGTTAATATGACCATGTTATACTGCATTACTGATTCAGCTGTCTAACTGCAGCTGAGCTGGAAAGAATCTGCTGTGAGAATGCTGCTTCTTGCTGAGATTCTTGGGCATGAAATTAAAAACTTAAATGAATAACTTTTCCCTATTCTTCTATAAACTGTAATAGATGATCTTAAAAAGGAGAGGGCTTTTAATTTTAACTTGAATATCCTTTGGGGAATACTATTCAGGTTAGGGATAATGAGCTATATGTGTTGAACATTCAGTTGCTCTCCTGTAGTATTGTGGCTAAAACTATCAGAAAGCCCCTTCAGAATTTATCTAATTTACATCACACTTCATTGCTTAGCCCAGTAGTAATACAAGTTGGCATGAAACAAAATTCATGGCCCCAGGCCTAATGTCCCAGTACTGACCAGCAGTCTCAATGGAGGCTTCCTGGCATAGTGTATATGGGATGAAATCTTTTGTTCAGAAGTGGACAATGCCAGCACTGTAGATATCATGTCTGAGGAGATTTATCTTGTTCTGTAATACTGAAATATACTCTTTTTTGAGATATAATGGTGTCTGTTATGAATATACAAATGATGTTACATGAAAATCCTTATGTTTTATTGAAGGTGAAAAGCAGATTGCCAAATTCTTCTTAATGCTGAATCAGTTTGTATAACTGTGGCTTGTTAAAAGCAGTTAAGTCAGGGCCACAGTTCCAGGCTTAGATTCCTCCTTTTCCTTTCAAATCTTGCTTTACTAAATAACTAATTTGCAACTGATGTAATAAGTTAGTTGTATTTATTCTCCATGCTAGCTCAGCTAACCTTTTCTAAAGTTTCTAAACAATAGAACCCAGTCCAGAAATACACTTCCAGTTAGAGAGGACGCTTCTAAACTGTAGGCAGGCATAGTTATCTGCGAAGTCCCAAAGAAACTTTTTGTCTTCTGAAAGACTCTTTTGTTCTGTCTCGTATTTTGGGAGACCAAAGGTCGGAAGATATTTAGAATTCATGGAACCTAAAATATAAGTGTCATCAATATTTTTAAGGTAAAATTTTTTATAGTTATGGTCTGTCATAGCTTGATTTGTGTGGACTTTGAAGTTCTTAGAGAAATAGGGAACTTCACTGCCCTAGATAGAACATACAAAAAATCTATTGCCTCAGACCTTAAAAATGGCGTTGAATGAAAGCATATACGAAATATCCTGAAATATCTGATTCCATTGAAGACACATAGGGTGAGCTTAATATATTAAAGCAATGCTTGTGTGTTTTATTAAAAGCTATCTGGCTTTCTACCTCTAATGTATATTTGGAAAGGTGTTTTTGTTCTCAATATGTAAAGAAAAAAACTTTTCAAAATTACTTCCCTTTTGAAATTTTCAGTTTTGCATTGAAGAATTAAAGAGAAATGAAGGTTTCAAGCTGAAAGATAACATTTTGATTAATAATAGTTCTGTGGGGAAAAAAAAAAAAAACAAGTAGGAAAACAAGAAAAATTGATAACCTTGCTTTACCACAACAGTTGAAATTGGAAATGTTAATTTCCAATTGGTAAAGGGAAATCAATGATATTAATGGAATTAATGGAAAACTTAATGGTATTAAGTGAAGGTGTGCCATTTTTAAAGACTAAGAAATGTCTTGGAGAATTTCATGGCAGAAAAAAAAAAGAAAAGGCAAAGAAACTTGTTCTAAAAACTTTTACGAACTTCAGTCATGAATTGCAAATTCCCTGCCCCATGAACAAAGATTTAGACTTTCCCAAAACAAAGCAAAGGAGCTCAATGCATAAAAAGTTTGCACAAGATAAACCAAGTGAGGTGTAGAAACTCTTAGAACTGTTTCCTGGTATGATGATGTTTGTCCTAGGCTAAAGGCCCAAACTAAAATGAGCAACCTGTATTCAGGATCAAAATGTAACTATGGTAAGGTATTGACAATCAGGTCTGGGATTGATTTATCACGTTATATGATTGCTCCCTGTTCTTAACAGAGGGAGACTTCCTTGACAAGAGTGGTAAGTTGGCTGTGATAAACTGTCCTCCAGAGTAGGAGGTAATTCTACTATACTTTTGTTCAGAATCTACTCGAAACAGTGAACAAAATTACTTTCACAAAGGGAGCAGTCACCTCCATCTTGAAAGATTTTTTGATAGCTGAGTGACTAGTATGAAGGAACTTTGAGGATATAGGTTGTCAGCAATATGTACGTGAGCAATTACTGAATTTCAGCTCAAAGGTTTGGAAATGTAATCAAGTAACTGTTGCAACAGAATCAACTGCTCTTGAGAAATGGAGTTCCTGAACATTGGCAATCTTAAATAGCAGCACATACTTGAACGTAACTGTGGAAATGCTGAGGCACGTGATGCTGCCGTCAGTCTGGGCTCAGCAAGCCTAAGGACAGAATTACAGCAGAAGCCAATTATAGTGTTTTTTTTTTTCCCCCCCAGATGTAGAGGAGCATACATCAGTGGATCATTTTTTATTCAGCTCATTAAATAATCTTCATTGACTGGGTCTCTTTTTTTTCTTAGTCAGAAAAGGAAAGCATATCCAATTATTAACT